AATGTTTCCCGTAGTTCTTTCTTCCTGTCCTTGCTGTCGTTGATTAATCTGTATACTTTAAACAATTTCATGTCTGATGTTTTGATTGTACCCGTCTCTATCGTAGCAGTTTCGTAAGTCGTATTTAAAATTTTGATATATGGGTTATTCCTTGATATTATCGCTCTCGCTATGAATATTCCTGGTAGTATCTCCTGTTGTTCCACTAGTCTATCTGCCTTCAACTTTTGAAAATATTGAACTGTTCTGTAAACTTCACATCTGGGTGGTATTATAATTGTGCTATCGTCTACAGTATCCAAAATATTTGTACTGATGTAATAGTTTCTATCATTTTTGATATGTATTTTCAAATTTGCGTAATCTAATATGCATTGAAAATTTGTGATAAAATCTCTTCCAATTATTCCGTCTGTTGGTATAGGAAAGTTGTTTTCTACCAATTGAAAGGTATGTCCAAAAAGATTGCCACGTACGTCTAGCGTAGTTTCGATTTCTCCCATTGTTTGTAGTTCTCCTCGAGTTACTCCTTTTATTCTTGCTTTTGAGTTCGGTTTTACATATTCTCTCATAGAGTCTTGTGTACATTTAAGTATTGAAATATCTGCTCCTGTGTCTATAATAAATGTATTTACTTGTCCTAAGATTCCTGTTTTTATTCTTACGAAGTTTGTAAGGTTTAAGTCGAAATTGTAGATAAAATATTCTGATTCTGTCATCTGTTCATCCGTCTCAGATGAGAGTTGTTTGTTCAAAACCCCAACTGTGGGTTTTCTGATTCCTGCGGACTATCTTCTAGTTCTAATAATCGTATATGTCTGTTGAATCCTCTTGAATTTCCCCTCTGTGCCTGGTTATCAAATTTTCTGGACCCTTTTTGCTCATGTTGACGGTGGTCTCTTTACCCATTGTTTTGTTGCGAGAAATTTGGTCTTCTCCACTGGTTATATCCATTATGATATCCTCTTTTGTGCTGGAATTTCCCTCTTTTGTTATAGTATGTTTCATAATTTAACACTCTTCCATGTACATTGTCTTCTGTTGTGTCTATTGATAGGAATTTTGACATCACTCTTGTGGGGTTGTGAAATTGCCTGCCTCTAATATTAGCTTGGCTTTGTCTGTGCTGGCGTTACGTTTCATCGTAGCTACTACAGCCTCTGTTGTATATTTCTTAGCTAAATCTCCTGGCATTCCCTCTGTTATGTATGCCACTTTTAATTGTTCGGCTAATGCCTCAACCTCGGCTGCGTACACAGCTGCATCTTTATGTCCTTGCTTCTTTTTGTCTAGTTTTGCTATCACCGTTTTCGGCGTATCACCTTTTAGTTCTCTCTTCAGTGTTGCCTGTATGTCTAAAATAGTGTCTTCTGTGGTTATTAAGTTTCTGGCTTTATTTGTTAACCTTGTTTTTATGAGGCTTATCGCTGTTTCCTCATGTCCTACTGCTATTTTCTGTAAAAGTTCGAGCGCGTCCACGAAGGATTGTAGTTTGCCTGTGGTTCCGTCAAATTCACTTGGTAAGATTTTGCTTGCAATGTTTAAAAATTCATTGATGCTAAGCGCCATGGTTTCTTCTTGTTCCGTGTCACTTTGATCTTCTTCTATATTCTTATCAATCTGTTGATTTATCAGATTAGGAACTAATATTCTGGAATTTATAGCTTGAAATGATCGTATGACTTTGTCTCGGTTTTTGTTGAAGTATCTCTTACAAGTTTCTCTCTGGATATCAGTTAGGGCATCCCAATTTTTGGTTATGAGGTGTACCAATCTATTATAAGCTTCAATTATTTGTGTCGTTATCTCAGTTTTTACCTCCTTGCTTTTAGGTATCTCCTTTTTTAACACTCTTTTGCTCTGCTTAGTAATATCCTGCGTAATGGCTTCAAGTATTTTGACAAAATCTTCCCAACTGCTAGGCATTTAAGAACGAAAACACAAATCCGATAGTCTTATGTAGTACGATAAAATTCGAGAATAATGTAGCAAAAAAAAATATAATATCGTCAAATACCCATTAAAATTCAATAAATTCAATAAATTTAAATAAATTCAATAAATTAATAAATTAAAAATTATCCATACTAAAATATAAGTGAAATTATCTTTAAAAAGTCATAAAAATAATAATTAATATTTAACAAAGTAACTGCTATGTTAATATACGTGTGAGGAAGTGCAAAAAAAAAATAGATAATATGCAGACTCACCACTTAAACGTCTAAATTTGTTGTCGATCTCGCTGCCATGTCCCGGTGTATGCTCCGCTTCATATTTCTACTATGCGCCTTCCATAACGACCATACCAATTTTAGTATCAGGACCGTGGTAATGATGTATAAGAGTACCTTTATTTCTTCGCCTGGTCTGACAGCTTTACTTTTTACTATGAAGTTGCTGTTGACAACTCCATTCTCCTGTAGGTCTTCCTTGGATGACTTTCCTCCCATTCTATACTTCTGGAACGAAGACTCCTGGTTTCTACCAATTCAGGATCGCCATATGGTAAATATTATCTTGGGTAGTAAATAATATTGTTGTAACTAGTTGCCCATTTATTAATCACTGCTTTGTACAATATTTCACTATTATAACTTAAATATATCAGTACTTAATTGACGCTGGCCATAGTGTCGGTATAATAATTAAGATCCCCGAGAATGATTGGTGTTGCTTTTAATAGCCTCGGCCTTGCTGACTCAGCGCTCTTGTTACTATTCGTGTCAAGTGTATTCCCTGACCTACACCACAAGTAAGTCGTGCAATTTTACTAGAGTGCTGACTGGCTGTTTTAATTAGAGTATGTTATATATGAATGACCTCGATTTAAATTACCGAATGTTTACATAAACAAATTGTTACACGAGTATGAATTATAATATTATTTTATCTGTAATTCTGATATTACATGGGTAATACTTTGCATTTTGCCTGTCTGCAGTATGGTTTTGATATCCCAGGTTCCCAATGGCAATTCAATCATTAAGTCCTTATTCCGTAGCTGTGGTGGTTGTCCGTTAACATGTCCGGTTTGTACGCTGTTAATTGCATTCAAGATAGCTGAGTTTAAGGGCAACAGGTTATCGGCCTGTTAAACCCGAGTCCAGTGCAGGACTGCTGGCTATAGCTTCTAACAGTCTCGGTTTGCTCCGGTTATAGTAGCTAGGCATTTCCTCCAGGTCAATGTTATGTTGTGTGTTAGGTTAGGGTTATACCGCTCATGTTCGGTCAGGGGTTAGGGAATATGAATAAGGGTTTAGGACAGCAGGAGTGCTGCTTCATTCAGTCGCATTTTACGACAAGTAGGAGAAACTGTGGGGATATTCTTTTTTGGTGGCCCGAATTCTACACGGGGCATTAATGAAATTACATTCCCTCAACTCCTGGTGTTACAGTTATTCCGCTGATACTTGGTCATCAGAGCCTGGTTTGTAATACCAGGGTTAACAGGCTATTTGGGACAAATCACTACGCCATTAAAACTCCACGATATCTGTACTATATTAAAATATTTTACGATATCTGATTGATGTCAATATGTTAAATAAAGTTACAGATAAATTCAGGTGGGGTCTTAAAGCTTGGTATATAGTTCCGTTAGGACAGACAAAAAGTCAAATAAAATTACAGATAAATTCGGTTAAAGTTCCACTAGGAACAATGGCGGATTCAGGACCGATTTTCGGAGGGGCCATAAACTTTTTTGGGGGGTCTGGGGAAAATGTTTAAAAATTAGGGTTACAATGGTAAGTTTTCACACACTTTTTATTGCCATAAAGGCATTTAAAACTTATCGGTGTTAAAGAATTTTTATTTGTGTAGCAACGAAAAATCCTAAAATTTTAATCTAAAGCCCCATGAAGTTCAATAAGTGCAAAGAAAGAAATGTTGTTTAGTTTATAGTTTATGAAATTAAAATAGCATAAATAAAAGTCGAATAATATTGGCCAAGTTACTTTATTTGTCTAGTACAATAGTACAAAAATTATTCTTGTACACTAAACCTCATAGAATAAATTCGAGTCGTCTGGCTCGCTGATGTACAAATCGCTCTATTACTTTTTCAGTATCTACTTCAACGTCTCCGTGTGAGCATAAAGGAGGCAAGGACCCATGAGTCGGATTTTCCCCATCCTTGCCTTCAGTTTAATATTATTTTTCCCAAGGCTTCTCCTATCAGGCGTTGTTCTTCCCATCTTTCTTGATTTTCACTAATTATTTTTATGTTCTCAGAAGCGTCAATGAACTTGACAATATCTTCACGAATGTTGTTACTGTGTATTTATCTCAAATTAAGAGAAAGCTCTTTCACGTGGGATACGTAGGTCTTTTCGTTAAATATGACAGAGTAATAATTTACACTTTAAACCTGATTGATTATTTGTTTAATTACATATTTCTTTACTAGATTTTCCTCTTTATCTAACATGTTATCAATTAATTTTGACTGGTGCTACTATTGTTGCTGGAGAAGATGGATAGGTGTTGTTTGACTCTTATCTCCTGATGCGATTTTAAACCTTAACAATTCCCTGAAATTCCCCTCATTACTAGTTGTAGTATTTCGCATAAAAGCAGAAGGTTATCATCACAGATAGAAAGATTGAAGGGAGACGGTAGACGTAGACGCTCAGTCTGTTTCTTTCTCCAACAGAGCGCGGTTGTGTTATACACGCATAGCTTAGGTAACCTCACACTTTACCTCATTCAGTACAGCCTCTACTACCCTAAAAACTAAAAATATTTTTCTCGTGACAAGTGAGGTGAGATGTGTTGGGAAGGGGCCATGGCCCTCTCTCTGGATCTGCCCTTGATTAGAACATAAATATACGGTGTGTCAATTTTGGGATCAATAGGTACAAAATTTTTAAAAATACACGGTGATAATGTCGAATTGCTTCAGAAACTTCATTCGTTGTGAGGTCCTCACATACGGTTTATTAAATAAACATTAGGTATACATAATTTTTTTCTCATTAATTTCTTCTTATTTCCAGTGAAACAGAAGCTAAGTTTATACAAAGTCGCATTCAGTCTGTAGAAAAGTATCTGGCGGACTTCTGTAATATATTTTCGTTATATTCCCGCAAAGCTGCTCGTTTACGAGACGAAAGGGATGAAATAGCCAAAATTTCTTTAAATATAGCAGAAAATGAAACCATTAATAAATCTTTGTCAGTTGGCCTAGAAAATTTCGCCGATTGTATGTCACAAATAAGCGATTACGAAGATGTAAGAGTTCAAGGCATCGATATTAAGGTGGTGAGCCAGTTTATGAAGTACGAAAATATTTGCAAACAGGCGAAAGATGAAGTTAAAGATATCTATACAGCTAGAGATAAGGAGGTATCCAAGAAAAGGTATTTGGACAGAATAAGGGAAAGGAACCCAAGAAATAGACAACAAATTGTAAGTATTAGATTATTTGTTTAGTCTATGTCTTTCGGCTTATGCTATATTTATCTCCACTTTCTTCATTTTATTTTTCTATTGACGTTCTTTGTAATAAGTAAATGAATTAGTTATTAACGAAAATAAAAAATACTACCTATTAGTAAATAAGAATGATTTTGCACAAACTTGTCAAGAACCAGCTAAGTAATTAAATATTATTCTGAATCCAACATTGCTAAGCAAACGTATAGGTAACTGTCAAGATGTGAACTAGCTGCATAAATACAGCATGAAGTAAATATAAAACCAATGATATCCTATCTACCAAAAACAAGTGAAAGCTATAAAAAAGTTAACTAGAACAAAATGGAGAGATCACCTCTCATGGATGGTCATAGCCTTTATGACCATCTTGAGACTTAATGCAAAAGATACTTGGATGTCGAATTATGTATTGAATAGTCATACAAACACTACCGGGACATTTACACAAATACTACTGGGACTATACTTGAGGAATACATTTTTCAGATGACCTCAGATTTGATGAGATCACAACTAATCTTCACTGAAAAGATTAATATGATTATGCCATCTAGAGAACAAAAGGTCTCAAACATTAATAGGGACTTTATATGGTTCATTGTTGGATATAATACTGCCCATGGTACTAGATCTGGAGTCTTCCGGCAAACTGTAATTATAATAAATATTACTGCCTACGTTAAAGACAACAAACAACTGTGTTCCAAGCTGAAGTTTTTATTTTGGTGGCCTATATTCATGAAATCCTGAATGAAGAGACCCCAAAGCAAAGAGAATCAATATCGTTACAGATATCCAAGCATCTATTCTGGTCATAAAGAGCCCACTTACCAAATTAAAACTGGTAAGGAACTGCAAAGATCTCCTCAACAATCTGGTAAAAGAAAATAAAGTGTTGTCATGAAGGGTTGCATGGGAATGCACGAGAACAAAATGTGGGCTAAAGAAGACTCGGGAGAAACCTTTGTTGACCCAGAACTATTGTACTGAATCACCAAAGGTGTAATATCAAACACAAACCAGATATAATAGCTATTGAACGTCAGTTCTCGGTAATAATCAAATGATACAAAACGAGAAAAAAATTAATGACAAAATGTAGAATGAATAGTTGAATATTATCATTGGCATAAGATTAAGGAAGAAATAAACAAAACGTAATGGGTAGTATTTTTTGAACAGTTTCAAATACCTATGAATTTTAAACCCCAAAAGAACAATGAATTCATTAATCTAAACTTCTGAAGCTATTTTCTTAGGCATTTTGAGAACGATTTCCGAAGTGGAAATATAAACGTCAAAATAAATATATTTTAAACTAAAATTGTGGTTTATTACCAATAAAAATAGTAAATTTTCCGTATATAAGCTAAAAACAGATTAGAAAGACTTCTAAAACAATTCATTTATTAAATTAATAAATTACTTTATTAAATAGGAAAAATAATATTGGCTTCGTTGTCGAGTATATCATATCTCATTTTTGTTTTTATCAGTGGATCGTGCTAAAAAGCATTATAGCCCAGGGAAATAAGCATTTTTTCATGACACTCGTCCGGCCAGGCAGACGACAGTTGTTTTGAGTAGTATGGACCTCTGTAACAAAAACCTATATGTTTCCTGCAGTCGATTTTTTGGACTTAATTAGTTATTAACAAATTAAGGTCAAAAAACGGAAAATTTTTGCTTTTTTCGTCTATCAGCAAAAAGTGAAGCAATTTAAACAAATTTTAGAAGAGAGGAAACTTATAAGTTATATAAAAACCTTCAAAATGGCGTCTTCAAAATGTTTCTATCCTTATTTGTTGCTTAGAAAGTTGCAAAATAAGTCAAAAATTTCGGTTTTTTATAAATGTTAATAACTTTTTTGAAAATAAACTTATAATATTTATATTTCACGGAATGATGTGTCTTGTAGTGATTAAAATAGGGTTAAAATTTCAAAATGATCGGTCCAATAGTTTAAAAGTTATTTTATTTGTTTATCCCAAATTAACATTTTTTGCAACAATATAAGTCAGAAATTTATACAGTTTTAGAAATTGTAATGGTTGTTTCTGGTAGAAGAATACTTGTTTTATTATTTACATTAAAAAAAATTAAGAAAATTAATTTTAAATATTGCAAAATAATTTTGCAAAAACATGTCGATTTTTTGCTTATAAACAATTAGAATAACTTTTTAACCATTGACTGTAAAAATATTATTTTTACATATTTAAAAAGCTTGAATTTTTTTACAAATTTAAGTAAAAAAAAGTTTGTCCTAAAATAATTTGGTACAAAGTTAGCCTCTTTTTTTATTTAATTCATAGCACCTTTGTTTATAACAATTAAGAAATCTAATTAGCGCTATTTGAAAGAATATACATTATAGTTTTAAACTACTAAATTTTAAAATTATTGCCCTTTAATGAAATCCTCCACAAAGTTTCAAAATGTATGTAAAATCCGTCGGCTTTGAAACTCTCGGGAGCTGAAAGGAGGGGGAAGGCGCTGTTAACTGTATCTCTGTTCCTTTTTTATGTATTTCAAGGCTTTTTTTTTAACTTGTATGTACTTTTTGCGTACATTACGAATATGCATTATTTCAATAAATAAATTGTCAAATAAACCACATAATTTGTTTAAAAACAATTTTTTTAAATTTTTTTAGTAGTATTTAAGTTAAGTTTGAATGTAAAACAGAAGTACTTGTCATTTCCTATATTTTGGGGAATAAGCCACAATTTAAGTTTATAATAAGTTTATTTTTGATGTTTCGATTTCTACTTCGGAAATCTTTCTCAGAATACAGAACATTAATAAATTAATCAAATTTTGTTTTTGGTTACTTGGTAGAAAATTTGGTTGGAAAATTTTTCTGATAACTCTTCTGGGTGATTGATTAGGGTGAGGAAGCTCAGTAGATCTGTTTTAGTAAAAATTACAAAAAAAAGTTATTGACAAAACTTGTAGACAGCTTTAAACTCGACATTTTAAAATTAGTTACAATCTTACAGGGTGTTCTATAAGATGGTGGCAGACCAAACTTATGTTTTTTTAAATGAAACACCCTGTATTTTATTTTGAATTTGAAATCTGCTTCACTTCCACATCATAACTATGTAAAGTTTTTTATGTTATACCGGGTATTTAAAAAGTTATAACCAATATTACCTGAAAATCGTATCAAGTTTAACTCCCTATATAATTAAAAAGGAGTATAGGTCCATTGATCTATTGCAACCATAGTTTTTTAATAATTGTTAAAAATTATAAAACATATTCGTTTTCATAATATTCGTTAAATCAAATACATGGTAAGTCAAAATGCAAGTATATTATTTTCTTGGTAATTTTAAATAGAACTCCCTGTATTTTATATCACTATCGAAAAGTACTAATATCGTACTTCAAATTTTATAGAGTACTCCCTATACATAAAGTTATTAGTTTTCTAGATATTTTTATTTTTCCATCAAAGTATAAATTTTGAAGATATTTTAACGTTTACCAATAATTATTGTGAGTTGACCATGATTGATTTGTCAGAAACTGACAGTTTGACATTATTGTTTATTAATTCAGTATTGGGGTACATCGTAAATTAGCAACAATTATTATTTAGCAATTCAATAATTTATTCAATTTAAATTAGCAATAATGAATTTTACTACTGAGGAAATGATAGATAAATATGATCTGAATATTGGAGGGATGCAATAAAAATTCATTACTATCAGCTAGAATTTATCATGAACGGTTTCCAGATAGGCGGCAACCTAGACAAGATACATTTGAAAAATTGACAGATCGATTTAACCGCACTGGTTCAGTGAATTATGAAAAACATGAACGAAAAAAAAAACTAGTGTGACAGAGGAAAACGAAATGAGTGTGTTGATGGCAGTTACAGAAAACCCACTCACAAGTATAAGGAGTATTTCCAATAATCAAGAACTTAGTTACTACTCTGTTCAAAACATTCTATCTAAAAACAAGATGCACCCATATCATATTCGAAAGTACCAAGAATGAAATGATGATGATAGATTTGTGGGCCTAAAAAAAAATTAATGAACAGAGATTTTTTTTGATTATATCATATTTGGTGATGAAGCTGCATTCCACTGAAACGGTTCTGTTAATAGGCATAAATAACTTTCACTACTATTCAACAAGTAATCCATACCAAATAGTAACACATAGTCAAACAAGATAATCTTTAAATGTGTGGGGAAGTATCGTGGGTAACCATGTAGTAAAACCATATTTGTTTAAATATAACGTAAATGGTAAGATTTATTTAGATTTTATCGTACATCAGTTACCGATATTATTAGAAGAGGTTCCAATTAATATACGTGAACAAATGTGGTTTTTACATGGAGGCGCTTCTGCATACCACAACGAATTAGTAAGTGGTGAACTTAATAATCAGTTTGGTGAAAGATGGATCTTAAGGGTTGGCCCAAGGTCACCAGAATTCAATAAAGTGGACTCATTTTTTTGGGGTTACATTAAGAATGAAGTATATAAAGTACCTTCAACAACAAGGGATATAAAAAATAGAATCCGAATTGCATTTCAAATTATTTCTTTACAAATGCTTAGTAATGTAAGTAACTTTTTCAATGACCGCTTTCAAGTATGCATAGATGTTTTGGGAGGTCATTTTGAACACCTTACTTAAGTATGATTAGTAAAAATTACAGTTGTTTTTTATTTTTTTATGTGTTGTTATTTTTTTTATTTTCTGTCGATTATTTTTTATAAATTTTATTTGAAACAAATTCTTTTCTTTTCTGTGTCGTTATCTCGTTACTGAATTAAAAAACAATAATGTCAAACGGTCAGTTTCTGACAAATCAATCATGGCCAACTGCCAATAATTATTGGTAAAAGTTCAAATATCTACCAAATTAATACTTATCTAGAAAATTGATAACTTTAGGTATAGGGAGTATTCCATAAAATGTAAAGTACGA